CACTGTAAAATGAAAGATGTAATAATAAAATGTTCAATTGGTGAAATACAAATAAAACTATGGTGATAACCATGAAACAGAAATTTAATTTTGTTAAAATTATTAATAAAATCTATATATTCCTAGATATAATTATCAAGGGAAAAAAGAAAAAAGATGAATTATTCATATAAATATAAGTAATAAAAAAGAGACCTATTCTACAGGCTCTATAATGTTATAAATGTAATGAAAGAATATCATTAACAAGTTTATGTCACTGAGTAAATGTGTAGAAGTAGATTCACACAGTTTTCCTGACGAAAACTTTTTTGACAAATGCAAAGACAATTCAATAGAGGTAACAACACAGTCTTATGAGCAAATGAGGTTGGGATGATTGTATATTCTTAGGAAATAATTGAAAATTGACATAAATATCACATCTTGTACCAAAAATTGTGTACAGTCTCAAAATGAACCATATATCCAACTACAAAATGTAACATTAAATCTTTTCAGAAAAACATAAGAGAATATCTTCATGACCTAGGGTTAGACAAAAAGATTTTTGACATGACACCAAAAACACAATCCATACAATATAAATAACTTAGATTTCATCAAAATTAAAAATGTTTGCTCTGTGAAAAACACTATTAAGAGAAGGAAAAAGATAAGCCACAGAATGGCAGGAAATATTTGCAACATACGTTTTCATCAAAAAACTGCATTTAGAATACAATGAACTGTTCTAAACTCAGCAGGAAGAAACAAACAATCCAGTTGAAACCTGGACAAACGATTCAGACACTTTACCAAAGAGCTATGTGGTAAGGAAATAAGCATATAGAGAGATGGGCGGTGTTTATTAGTAGTTAGGGAAGTGCAAATTAAGCCACAAAGAAATACAACTTCACATCTATCACAAACATAGATTATGATTAAAGATGTCATAAAGATATGATTGTGATTTATCTATCATAAATATCAAATTCTGGCAAAGATGCAGAGAAATTGGATCACTCATACATTGCTGGTGGGTGAATAGTCCAGTCATTATGGAAAATAGTACAAGAGTTTTGTGTAAGCTTAAATACTCACTTACCTTACAACTCAGCAAAACACACTTCTGGGTATGTATGCTTGAAAAATGAAAAACTTACATTCTCACAAAACTCTGTACCTGAATATTCATGGCAGCTATATTTGTGGTCACCAAAAACTGGAAATCAGCCAAGAATCTTTCACTGGGTAAATGCAACTATAATACATCTGTACAATGAGATCTTATTTACAGATTTTTCTCAACTTTCAATAGAGTTATGTCTCAATATACCATTTTCAGTTGAGAATATCATAGGTGGAAAATGCATTTAATATACCTAACCCAGCCTCCCTTAAAGGTGCTTAACATTTACATTAGCCTACAGGTGGGAGAAATCATCTAACACAAAGTCTATTTTATACAAAAGTGCTGAAAATCTCATGTAATTCATTGAGTACTCTACCGAAAGTGGGGCTTCCCAGGTGATGCTAGTGGTAAAGAACCTGCCCGCCAATGAAGGAGACATAAAAGACGCAGGTTCAATCCCTGGATGGGGAAGATTCCCTGGAGGGGGACATGGCAGCCCACTCCAGTATTCTTGCCGAGAGAATTCCATGGACAGAGGAGCCCAGTGGGCTACAGTCCATAGTGTCACAAAGAGTCGGACACGACAGCAGCGACTTAGCACACACACACTGAAAATGAAAACCAGAATGGTTGTATGAGTACAGAATGAATGTAAGTATGTCAGTTGCTTACCCTCATGATTTCAGGGCTGGCCACAGCTCAGCTCACTGCTGCTGCCCAGAATCACCAGGGAATATTATGCCACATGTTGCTAGGATGGGAAAAGACCAAATTTAAAAATTCCAAGTATGGTTTCTACTGAATGTGTATAGCTTTCTTACCCCTGGAAAGTCAAAAAACTGAAATTAATATCATAAATTGGTGACAGTTTGTAGCAGTTAAAAGAAACAGACTACTGATACATTTAGTAGCCTAGATGGGCCTTCCTAGGTGGATCAGTGGTAAAGAATCTGCCTGTAATGCAGAAGACCTGGATTTTATCCTGGAGTTGGGAAGATTCCCTGAAGAAGGAAATGCAACTCAGTCCAGTATTTTTGCCTGGGAAATCCCATAGACAAAGGATCCTGGCCGGCTACAGTACATGGGGTCATAAAAGAGTCAGACAGGACTTAGTGATTAAACAAATATAGCCTAGATGGATCTCAGGATGCTATGCTGAATGAAAAAAAGTCAATCTCAGAGGCCACATGGTGTATGATTACACTTATTGGATTATTATGATTATATACCTAGTATGATTCTATTTATATAACGTTCTCAAAAGGACAAAATACAGAGATGAAAAGATCAGTAGTTACTGGCGTTATAAAGAATTGCAGGGATGGGGAGGATATGCAAAGAGAGTTTCTTTAGAGAAATGGAACAATTCTGTGTCATGAATTTAGTGGTGGTACAAGAACCTATAAATGTGATAAAACTTCACAGAGCTTCATATCAAAACCAAAGAGCACATGTAAAAACTGATGTGTAATATTACAGTCTGTATTTTGATAAAAAATTTTATCAGTATCAGTTTCCTAATATATATGTAATTACTATATTAATGTATACCTATATTTTATAATATCATGCTGCTGCACAGGCTGCTGTGGTCATTCATGATCTCCTCTGCTTAGTTACAAATAATTTCAAGCCCAGGCATTCGCTGCCTGTCAGCACTCAGAAGTGAAATGGGACAGAAGAGTGGATGTCTCAGAAAATACAAACTTTCTTTTCTGCTTCACTCATTCACGGGTTATTTTGATCTTAAATTACATGAACTGGCACTGTTTTAGAACATGTCTGTATTTTCTTTTCTACTTGTCTATTTGCCTTTGGTTCTTTTATGTTAATTCATATATTACAGCAATGAAACCAAATGGAAGACTGACAGCTACGTTCCACATAAACATGAAACAGTGTACAAAACTTCAGTCACAAACTTCTGTGGGGTTGACAGGTACTAAGTGTCTGCAGTCTGTAGATATTAAGTTTTGTAGGAGTGCATTATACCATTACACCAGAGAAAACTCCAGCATGTCTATCTTAACTTTATTTTACAAAGAGAAATAATAATGAGTGACTGACAAGTGAGACTGAATACTCTGGACTGATGAGACAGAAAATGTGACCTGATAATTCTAGGACACATGCTCTATAAGTACAATTCTACATTTAGAGTAACAGGATTGAACACCCTGATCCCCTCAAAGTCTAATACATAAGAATCAATATCAGATTTCAAAAGAATATTTTATTCCTGTTATAATTTCATTTAAATACAAACCACTGAATAGACTCTGAAATTCAGATGGACTGATTTTTTTTTTCTTTTGAGCTTTTATTTATTTATTTATTTGCTAATTACTTTACAATATTGTAGTGGTTTTTGTCATACATTGATATGAATCAGCCATGGATTTATATGTATTCCTCATCCCGATCCCCCCTCCCACCTCCCTCTCTACCCTATCCCTCTGAGTCTTCCCAGTGCACCAGGCCCGAGCACTTGTCTCATGCATCCAACCTGGGCTGGTGATCTGTTTCACCAGGACTGATTTTTTAAAAATCATTTCATGTTGAAGTAGTTTTATTTATTGAAAAATCTAAGTAGAGCCCTGGAACTCAGTAAAAAAAAAATATAGAGAAAGATATATTAATTATTTTGGATAAGATTGCTTTTCACCCCGAAGGTTTAAGATCTGTGACTATTTTAAACCAGTCACTAGATTCTGGATGGAGAAAAGAAAGTAAAGGCTAATGAATGACTAATCAGTAGATTACAAGAATGTTTCATAGGGTATACAAAATTATATCTTAAACAGAATGGAAAAATTATTTTACTGAATAATTACCGATGTATGTCAATTTGTTTAATCTTCAGTTTCCCTCAGTTCAAACCTTTAATATTAATTGCTTTCTTCATGCCTCTTTTCAGGATCTGCCAAACATAATGACTAGGGAAAAATAGGTAGACAAAGTAAAAATTTGTGGTGAGCCAGACAGTAGTCATATACTTAAAGCTATGTTTTTTCCAGTAGTCATGTATGGATGTGAGAGTTGGACCATAAAGAAAGCTGAGTGCCAAGGAATTGATGCTTTTGAACTGTAGCATTGGAGAAAACTCTTAAGAGTCCCTTGGGCTGCAAGGAGATCAAACCAGTTCCTTCTAAAGGAAATCAGTCTTGAATATTCATTGAAAGGACTGATACTGAAGCTGAAACTCCAATACTTTGACCACCTGACTCATTTGAAAAGATCCTGATGCTGGGAAAGATTGAAAGCAGGAGGAGAAGGGGATAATTGAGAATGAGATGGTTGGATGACATCACCGACTCAATGGACATGACTTTGAGTAAACTCTGGGATGTGGTGATGAACAGGGAGGCCTGGCCTGCTGCAGTCCATGGGGTTGCAAAGAGTTGGATAGGACTGAGTGACTGAACTGAACTGAACTGAGACTTTTTCCATCTGTGCACAGACCGTGTGGTTGATCTACATGACAAACCCCACTTCCTGTTTTGGGGGAGAGTCACAAGGAACCCACGTGCTATGTATATATGCTCTCAAGCAATTAAAGACACTGACCTCTCAGCTTGAGGCAGAGTTAAACACATTTGTGCAGGGGAATCCACGCCTCATGACCCTCTCTAGTCTGCTCTGGATGTGCCTGGCCTTCACCTTCTCTGGTAGGGATGCTCTCAAACATGGGTGCGAATGTTCAGGGTGAAAGGACTGCACACAGGCACGCGGTGATTCACGGGGACTTGGGGAGGAAAGGAGGACCGGAGAAAAGCAAGCATCTTGTGATTTCAGTTTGGTTTGTAAATATATGGGTCCAAAATTAGTGTAATTTCTACATTATTTTGTTCATTATTTCAACTCTGTTTTCTTATTTTTTCCACAGGATCTGGTGTGGCCCAGAAAGTTACTCAAGACCAGCCAGACATAACCAGTCAAGTGGGGCAGTCAGTCACTCTGAACTGTCAGTATGAAGTAAGTTGGTACATGATCTACTCCATTTTGTGGTACAAGCAGCTTCCCAGTGGACAGATGATTTACCTTATTCGTCAGTATTCAGAAAATGCGAATGCAAGGGACGGCCGCTACTCTGTAAACTTCCAGAAAGCAGATAACTTCATTAGCCTCACCATTTCAGCCTTACAGCTGGAAGATACTGCAAAGTTCTTCTGTGCTCTCCGTCAACTCACTGTGGTTGAAGTAATGGGAAAAGCTGAACAAAAACCCCAGAGCTTAATAAGAGAGAACCTCCCTGCTGCAGGACTCCAGCTGAAATGCACACCTGCAGATCCCAGCAAGAAATGGTAATCGTGTGGTTGCTTCATCTGTGGTCTGGATCATAGGATTTAATTCTAAATAAAAGCTTCTTCCTTGCTATTTGGTGTCCAGAGTAATTTTCTACTGTTAACATTCTCCTCTTGAATTTTTGACTTTAAATCAATCATACAGAACATGTGTAAAGTTGTCTAAACTTGCTCCATAAATAATTAAAAGTGACAGTTTCACTAAAATACACTCACATCACAAATCTGTGCATAGTTACTTGGAATCATCATAAAAATAATTTCCTTAGTCCTTTGTTCTTAGTCTTGTGTCACTGAAGGTACTATCAAAGAAGCAGAACCACCAGTGGTGTGGAATAAGAAATTAGTTATAAAGATTAGAACTCAGGAATTGCTAGATATGGTGGAAGAGTGTACACAAAACTGTTATCTTGGTATCTGATGTTGAGACTGAACTCATTGTTTGTTAGCTAGAGTAATATTTGTAGAAGACAATTGGATATAGGCCAAAGCATGGACAAACTATGACTCATAAGGACAAACTAGAACCATGAGGTGAATGGAAACCACAAAGACACACTACAATTTGTCTGTGTTTCACCTCCTTCAGTCTCACAGTAGTGGGTGACCTTAGAAGTGGGTGTCATTTGGCCTCATGCTACATGCATATTTGGCCCAAAACAGAGAAAATGAGGAGGAGGTTTGGTGCAAAGTGAAGGAGTTGTGAGTCAACAATAAGTTGAGCTATCAGATCAGCAGCAACAGGAGTGAGCAACCATAGTCCCTGGAGCCCTGTACCAACCCCCCAAACATAAAAACTATGGCTACTTCATCACAACCACCTTGCAATTGTTTCTTTTGTGGCCAACCCTAACCAAGAACAATACAGGAAGCACTTTCTGGGAAAGATATTTCCAGTTAGTTTAGATAGTACAAAGCTGCTACAGTACCCTCTTTGTTAACCTGGCATCCATCTGTACTCTCTTAACAACTTTTGAATAAAGAAAGCAAAACTATGCTTCTTGCTAATGCTGTTGTTGGCTGTTCAGTCACTAAGTCGTGTCTGACTCTTTGTGACCCCATGGACTGCAGCCTGCCAGGCTCCTCTATCCTCCACCATCTCCCAGAGTTCGCTCAAATTCGTGTCCCTTGATTTGGTAATGCTATCTAACCATCTCATCCTCTGCCGCCCCCTTCTCCTTTTGTGTTCAATCTTTCCCAGGGTCAGGATCTTTCCCAATGAGTGGCTCTTCTCATCAAGTGGCCAGATTACTGGATTTTCAGCTTCAGCATCAGTCCTTCCAATGAATATTCAGGATTGATTTCCTTTAGGATTGACTGTTTGGATCTCCTTGCAGTCCAAGGGGCTCCCAAGAGTCTTTTCCAATACCACGGTTCTTGTTAATATAATGCAGTAATTCCTCCTTCAACCCCAAAGAGTCTAACCTCATCCTGCAAAGATTATAGCAAATTCATTTATCCATTTGGGGGTGAAGTTATTTTCTTTTCTAGCTAAGCCACAGTCTCCCATTGAATCCTTTACCTTCACTACTGAGCTATAATAAGATGAAAGATTGACTTATATTAGCATATCTTATGTTACTACAGGCAGGCAAATGGGAGAGGGGAGTTAAAACTGGTTAATGTAATACATAAATATATCCATATCGAAATGAAAAACAAACTCACATAAGTATTATTGTTCTCATTCCTGCAAATGACCACAGGATTATAGCTGGTATTTATAACTACCTCTTCTATTACCCATCCCATAACCTCTTTGCTCATAGCAAGCATTTCTGCTCACTGCTATACTTGATTTCCCATAAAAAAATTGCTTCCCTTATTCAGAAGCAATGCTATGCGGAAAGTCATAAATTTGAATAAGGAATTCTGCAAGTCCACCACTCTGGTTTTGGCAGAAGATTGCAACTTTCACTGCAAGGCATTGAAGGCAAATTCAAAAGTCTATTTAAGTGGAAACAATCTTGCCAAAACCCATGGAAATTTTCCATATTGTATTTTAGGAAACATCATTAAGAATGATACTTAACTTCACATCAGAAGCAATAGAAACCACCAAGGTAAAATATTTTTAAAGTGCTTAAAGAGAAAAAACAAAACTTTCAAGGAAATATCTTATGAATATGAAAATGTATTTTTAAATTGTGTTTGTTATACATCACTACTAAGATTTTTGAAAGTCAGTGCACAAACTGATAAACTATATTTGCAATATGTATGTTTGAAAAAGTCTCAGATGAAGATTATGTTAAACAGAATATGTTAAAAGTTCATCAAATCAATAAGAAAACAGATAATGAGAATGACAAAATGTTGGAAAGCCAAGTGATAAATGTGATATCCAATAGCTAATAAATATATAAAAACTTTAATGAGAATAAAACCTTATCTGAGGTTCCATCTGGGTCCTTTCAGTATTCTGAGTGTGTCAGTGTGGCTAGGAGAATATGACCCCAGGGAATAGGGAAAAATAATGACTGTCTCCAGGAAAATAAGTGATAAAGTGAATTTCCTAGAAGCTTCCATCATTGTGTGGAGTAAAGAACAGTAATAGGTCTCAGACCTGGACATTGAAGGAGATGTAGTTTTTACTAGAACAAAGAAAGTTGGTATTTATTGAGCTTACTCTTTGTCAGCCACTGTGGTCTGCACTTCCAATTCATTGTCCAATTTAAATATAAAAATCCTGTGAGGTAGATTTCATTATTCCCATTTTTTAATCTACTTGAAATGAGACAAAACTCTCCTAACTGTGAAAAGCATCTCCAGCATTTATTGCGAGCCAGAGTATATCATTTTAGGGGGCTCCTTTGGAGCAAGATTTGGACTATGGAGAAGCACTTCATCCCAGAACATTGTGGCTCAAAGTCTTAGTGGTGGTGACATTACTGGTTTAAACTGGAAGCTAAAGGGAACTAGGAAAGAAAATGCCAAACCATAGATTCAATTCCCCCAGGATCAGTAGATGAGGAAATCATCCACTAACCAGTTAACAGTGCTGGATGCTTTAGTAAGTTTCTTGTGTAATAGTGTGCTGGGAAAAACAAGGGCTACAAGGAGATTTTATTCCTCTAACACCCTAAGCTTGTCTCCCCATCAAGACCTGTGCCCCTTGTCTTTGCCTTCTCTGCTGTGATGCTTGGTTGTTGTTTAGTCACAAAGTTCCATCTGACTCATCCTCAGTGATAGTCACCTATACACTAGGCCATCAGTGAATTCCAGCCTTTTGAGTCCTGGCTGCCTGGACTATTTGCTTGCTGTCCTATGGTAAAAAACACTGAATTTTTCTTCACTGCAATCCACATGAGCAAGTGGACCCAGGAAGGTTATACATACACACATACACACACACACACACACACACATATTCTTCAACTAGTAAAGAATCCACCTACAATGCAGAGGACACAGGAGACTTGGGTTCAATCTCTGAGTCAGGAGAATCCCCTGGAGGAGGAAATGCAACCCACTCTAGTATTCTTGCCTGCAATATCCTGTGGATATAGGAACCTGGCAGGCTACAGTCCATGGGGTCCCAAAAATGACTTCGTGACTAAACAACTATGTGTATGTATGTATATATATATATATATACATACATACACTAAGTTGCTTCATTCTTGTCTGACTCTTTGTGACCCTATGGATTAGAGGATACCAGGCTCTTCTGTCCATGGGATTTCCTGGGTAAGAATACTGGAGTGGGTTGCCATCTCCTTCTCTAGGGTATCTTCCTGACCCAGGAATAGCACTCGAGTCTTCTGCATTCCAGGTGGATTGTTTACCACTGAGGCACCTGGGAAGCCCAATATATGTGTGTGTGTGTGTGTGTGTGTGTGTGTGTATAGTGCAAAAGATAAAAGTATTTCTAGAGTTCACACTATTCCAACTCTAAAAGTCTAAGTTGGACTCTTTTTGATTTTTTTATCTAAATGTCAACAATTCTACCTTGCAAGCCTCTTCAGGCAATATTTATTTAATTTACCTAGTGGTCAATTGGTTGGGCCTCTATTTCAAATAATTATGCTGGCTTTACAGCTCCTGCAGTTCAATTCCAGAAAAATAAATGACCCAACCAAAAAATGGGCCAAAGAACTAAACAGACATTTCTCCAAGGAAGATATACAGATGGCTAACAAACACATGAAAAGATGCTCAATATCACTTATTATCAGAGAAATGCAAATCAAAACCACAATGAGGTACCATTACACGCCAGTCAGGATGGCTGCTATCCAAAAGTCTACAAGCAATAAATGCTGGAGAGGGTGTGGAGAAAAGGGAACCCTCTTACACTGTTGGTGGGAATGCAAATTAGTACAGCCACTCTGGAGAAGAGTGTGGAGATTCCTTAAAAAACTAGAAGAAAACCTGCCATATGACCCAGCCATACCACTCCTGGGCATACACACCAAGGAAACCAGATCTGAAAGAGACAGGTGCACCCCAATGTTCATCACAGCACTGTTTATAATAGCCAGAACAGGCAAGCAACCTAGATGCCCATCAGCAGATGAATGGATAAGGAAGTTGGAGGACAGAGGACACTGGTGTGCTTGGGGTCACAAACAGTCGACTTAGTGACTGAACAACGATGCTGTTTCCTTTGCTTATTTCAGTTGTTCACTGGAAAGAAGGTTTTGCAGTCAATCTGCAGTACCAGATTTCCAAGAAGTAGAGTTAGATTCTGAACAGTCTTAATTAATGCAATCTTGTACTAATAAATTTTCCTGGATGCATTTTATTTTACCAACTGCATATTGAGCTCACAGATAATGTTGCTTTTATAATTTTCAAAGGTCCTATGGGAAATTGTGGTTCCCAAATCATTGTTTAAATAAATATGTGCATGTTGAATTAAACTAACATTCTTCCTGGACTGTAACAGATAAGACAGAACAAAATTCTTATTTATTTTTAAGCAACTCTATTGAGGTATAAGTGACATTCCCTAATATTCATCCATTTTGAATTTTCAGTTTAATAATTTTTAGTAAATTA